AAAAGTGACAATTTTTCAGGAAGATACCCCAGACAGTATAAAGCTTTTACCAGACCCCGCTGAGGCAGTCGTCGATAAACTAGCCGCTGAGCTTGGCCTTCAGAAGGTCGGCTGGATATTTACAGACCTTGTAGCAGATGATGTTCGGAAGGGCACGGTAAAACACCTACGAGATATCAATACGCACTTCCTCACAGCCGAAGAGTGCATCCTCGCAGGACAGTTACAGAATCAACACCCTTCACCGTGTAAATTATCGTCTAATGGCAAGTTTGGATCGAAGTTTTCCACTGTTGTTGTTTCAGGTATGTTCTCCGTCTGTTAACGCCTCCGACATTCTTGCGCTTTCTCCAGAAAACGTTTAGTTTGTTCCCGCAGTTTGTTTTACTCTTTCTTATGATGGAGCACTGATCCGACTGCAAAATTCGACAAATTTTAGGTTAATTGTATCTATCATGTATACACTTTTTACGAAGTTTAATTTAATTCTTATTTTATTATGTTTTTTTTGCACGACCCCATGAGCTACTGTGCTTTAATTTTAATCTTGCTATGTTGTCTGTCTGTCTGTCCATCTATCTGTCTGTCTGTCTGTCTGTCTGTCTGTCTGTCGCTGGATGACGACAGCCAAAACAAAATGGCGTCCAAAATCCAAAACAAGATGACCTCAACTAGTCAAGCTTGTTTTTCCATTGTTTTTTGGATGCCTCAATCCGCGTCTCGGCAGCGAGGATGACAGATTTTGTATAGAGTACATAATAATAAATTGCCAGATATTAGTGTTTTCGACTGAAACCGGTGCACTGTTTCATTCAACCTGCCGGCACAAACTTTGCGCCTAAAACACGTTCTTTTTGGTTTGTGTTGTAGGCAATATGGACAACCAAGTGGGCTTTGATGGCTTTCAGGTACAGTTTTGCTCTCTTCGTCCATCAGACAAGTCTCTCTCGTCTTTGTTGATACTGTGTGTATAGTTGAACCTACACTTCAACGGCCACCTCCCTACAACGACCATCTCTTTGTAGCGGCCACTTTTTTTGGTCCCGGCGGACAGTCCATGCATTCCCTCTCATTGTAAGCTCTCTACAACGGCCACCTCTCGACGATGGCAACGACCACCAAAGCGCGTCCCAAACCACCAAAATAACCTGAACACAACAGCCAGTTAATCAATGACTGACGAACGATGTATACCAAAACAAAGTTTAAACCCTATGTTATATTGTAAACGGTCACGAAACTTGATCCGCACCGCACGTCGCTTCTGTCTTATTAGTATATTTTGATTGTGTTAGGTATTTCTATGCAACAATAAGCATATTTTAAATACGAAAATGTTGCACCCCCGAAAAAACAGGTGTCATATTACACCCCTACCTCTCCATAACGGTCATCTCGCGGCAACGACCACTTTTCTCTGTCCCCAAGGGGTTTGACTGGATTCTTTTTCACGTTCTCCTCAGGTGTCTAATCAATGCATGGCTTTAGTACGCGATGACTGCCTGGTACCCACAATAGACGAACCAGGCCTAGGCTATATCCGGGAATCCTCAAGCGGTCAGTACGTCCCGGATGTCTTCTATAAGGTTGGTGCTTTGGGGATATTCACTTGAACCTAAGTGAACTTGCGAACATCGTAAGATTTTTTTTTTTTTTTGATTTTGCTTTCGTGTTAATTTTGTTGTTTTCTTTGTAGACTACAGATTCCTACGGCAATGAAGTGACCCTACTAGCACGCCCTATGCCTATTGAGTATGTTTTAGTTCAGGTAGGTGTCGTTTATTACGTTCGCTCAAGGAGATTACCTTACTCGCAAAAACTATCGACGATTTTACAAAAGAAAAGTCCGAAAATAAAACAGTCCAATAAAACAGGCGGTTCCTCCCAAACTTCCGACTACTTCCGAGCGCGCGGTAATCAAATCAAGTCGTCGAGTACAGTTCAGACAACATAGTCGGAAGCTGGGAGGAGCCGCCGAATATTTGATTGACGGTAGCGAAAAACGCATTTGTCGGTTGAGCTTTGAATTTTAGAGGCCGCATGTTATTGAAAAGCGCAGTAAGCGCCCGAATTTTTCAGCGTCCGAACTATTTATAATCGTATGAAACTTTAAAGTAGCTCCAAAGCTCTTAGTTTCCTTTGTGGAGTGAACTCCAGTTGATACACTGCTTGAGATACGTAACGGCTTGATAGAATCTGTGTTATTTTCTCGTCGGTGTATCTGTAAAACCTTGAGGGGGCAGTAAAACTATTATTTACACAGATGTTGTTTCAGTGTAATTCATGTTTTGTAGGCATGAGTTTACCTTAATTATGTTTGAGTAAAGTGTACGAATTTTTTGTCCGAAATTTATCCGAAATAAGATAAAAAGTGTCTGAAACTTAAACGTCCGTAATTTTATCGTCCGAAATTTCTTGCAAGTTATGTAACTAAGAGACCTAAGAGAGCGGCTTTTTATTCCGTTTGTTAAAAGGGTAAAACATCCTTTTACTGCGACTCAAAGAAATATATATAACTAGTGAGAATGCGATACAAACACATGAATCTAATAGTAATTAAGTACAAAAAAATGAAGAAGATGTAACTGACAGTAGGCGCATTAAACAGAGGGTACGCGTTTGGAAACATGGAAACCTGTTGCAGGTGCGGGAAAAGGAAACTCAAATTTATGTTCAACCTTAACTGACAAGAAGTGTGGGAAAACCGTGTCTTTAAACCATTGAGGAACGTGGGAAAATTAGAAACATGCAACCGGAGGGCTATGCGGGAGATCATGCATGTATTCGAGGCATTCTAAGGGAGGGAAAACCTGCGGGTACAACATCTCGAAATGCGCGGGAAAATCTAAATCACGTAACTGGCGGAGAGTGGGAAGAACATGCAACTGATGCTAAGCGCGGGAAAACGACGCGCAATAGCTCTGGGTTTTTGCGCGTGATTGGTCAAGAAGACAACTACCTTCTTATGATTGGTCATGACAATTTCTCTTGAACCAGTCATTAAGGTCGGAGTCTTTCGAAGCTGGTGGTAAAATCAGTTCTGTCTCGCAAAATATTTGAGTTGCATGTGAGTTGATGTTCGTCCTGTACGGTCTTGTTTCTCGCAGGTGCCAACTGCTTTCCCTGTAGAACCTCAGTTCACTTTTTCCAACCAGATACAAGGAGAACCTTTTCCGTTGGAAAACCGCTCTAGAATGGGAGAATTACAGGTAAGAAAATCGTTAGTAAGGTTTCACATTGCGTGACGTAAAACCAGAACCAAAGTAAGATCTCTGGCCAATCACTAAGGACTTAGAGAGTCAAGTGAACCAATCACAGCTCGAAGTGAATGCATCAAGCCGCACGGAGCGCAGGAAAACGTGTGCGAGCGTGAGCTTTATTTCTAATTAGGTGACAAAGCGGCGTGAGTATTTTAAGCCAATCGTTTAGCGTAATAATCCAAAACCAAAGCAGTTGCAAATTACCTTGGACACTCAAATGAACATCGCTTTCTTTATTTATTGTACATTTGGTATTGCTTAAGAAATTCAACAGCTTTCTTATCAACGTCAGCTAGGAGAGAGTGAGATTTAAAATTACGGTATTTCTCTCAGTATTTCTCCTGCATTCGAAGTTAAATTGTGTAGTGCTGACAGAAGCGCTCTTGAGCTCTGTTGTGGAATCTGTCACGTTTGCAATCCTGGTTACTCCTCCATCTTTAATACATGTTGTAGTTTCGTTGCTTAGTAATACTCTTGTTTCCTTGTGCACAGGATTTTAACGCCTTAGTAAGATACTTGAACCAGTTTTCTCCTGATGACTTCCTGTCTGCCATGTCAAATTTTCATCTTCTGGTATTCCTCGCGACATGTGATATGCTTCCTTTAAAGGTGAGTGCACTGTCAGTGTTTTAAATGCCAGTGCATAGTAAATGAATCATTGTAGTAAGTTACTGTTCGTTTTCTGACGAGCGTTGGACAAAAAACTGAAGTGAATTCACCATACTCACATCAGAGAAATAGCTAAGGACCAGTAATGAGAGCTGAAGTTTCGATCTCCGAGCGGACAGGTTTATTTGTGTCCTTGGGCGCTTTCTATTCCTCCAAAAATTGCGGAACTTTCGAAATGGGGGTGAATTGCATGGAAGTGTCCTTCGAAAGTTTCTGGACATCCCCAAAATTGTCCAATTACCGAGATTCGAACTATTTGACCGAAATTTCCAGAAATTCCGCGAGAAAATTCAAATGGAATGAAAATTCCCTGTAAGACATTTTCGAAAATTTTGGTATACCCTTGCGACGCTCTCCTGTTTAACGTAAATTTCGGAAAATGTTGATCTATCCGTCACTAAAAATTTCCGGAAATTCTGTTTGGTCGAATGGAAAGCGCTCTTTGTCTTTTTATTTAGTAGTAGTCAGAAGTTAAGCAAGGCCCCTATTGATACCAGTCAAGTTCACTTCCTTACTGTCATAAGTCAGCTCAGTTTGGGTTGAGTCTGTTGTCTATTAATTTGCTTGTACACTTTGCTGTGTGGTAGGATCATTTAGGAGAACTGTGTGCAGCAGTTAAAAATAAAGATACAAACGCCGCACACCGCTGGAGTAAAAGCGAGCAGTGGTCCACAGTGGTACAGCTCATGCAAGCTGCAAATGGTAAGAAAATTTATACGGATTTTTTTTTTATTATAAAACGTAGTTGTTTTGCGCATTACGTTAAATAGGATTGCTTGTAAAGTTTGTTGAATAACTGAAACGGTTTCAAGTCGGGAAAATTGTTTTAAGAATTGTACCCAACGCGAGAGACAGTGTTCCGTCACATTTCCAGACTCCAAGAGGAGAGTTGGAAATACGACGCGTAGCGGAGTACTTTTGACGAAGTTCCAGCTGGTTTTTGGAAATGTGATTAAACACTGTCTGTGGTGTTTAATGCACTGCCCATCTAAATGACAACAAAGGAGTGAAAGGAAAAATAATATCGTTCAAACCACCTCACGGTTATGATTTCCTTTTTCTTCATGGATACTAAAATCGTTTTATTCAGTTGAAGCTGTGTTCGGCCTCACGAACTATAAACATCAAAAGAAAATACATAAAACCTCGCGAAAGTTTTTTTCGCTATGTCTTTTTAGAAATAAGTGATAAAAGGCAAAGGAATTTCGTGTTGTGTTAGAGCGGTTTTCACTTGAGTGTCGAAAATAATTCGCATTCGCTTCGGTTTTGCATTATTATGCTAAGCGATTGGCTTAAGAAACTCGCGCCACTTTGTCATCCAATCAGAAGTAAAACCAAAGCCAATCGTGACTCGCTTGCACGCGTTTTCCCGCGCTTTGTGTGTCGTACAGGTTATAACTTCGTGTTTTTGATTGGTTCACTGGATTGTCAGTGTCGTTTGTGATTGGTTCGACTGATTACTTTGGTTTGGTTTTGTGACTCTCAATTGAACAACCGCCCTCAGATGTTTTGTAATAGGCCATTTTGCTAAATAAATGCAAATATTTCCTAGTTCCATTGCCTTGTGGGGGCAAGAAGTGATCACTGGGCCAAAAATGGCCTCATTAATTCATTAAATATATCAAATTTTGCCTCCCACAAGGGACTGGAGCTAGCATTAGCAAAATTGTGTATTAAACATTGAAAAACTCGAGCCTCTAATTTTTATTTTTCATACTTCAATCCCGTTTGATCCTATTTTTTCAGCTCCATCTCCAGAACCTCGTGGTGGAGGAGATGTGGACATGGTCGATATGTCTCAGTCCCCCAGTGGTGCAGGCTGGACGTGCAAGCATTGTACCTATATTAACCAACACGGGCACGAGAACTGCGACATGTGCGGTCTTCCCGAACACTGAGCAACGATTGCGCTGTTAAGAGATGGCTCGATGTCATTAGCAAGAACACACTGAGGGACAAGGCACAAGGAAGGGGATTAAAAAGTATCGTTATTTGAAGTCAGCTGTCAACCACTTGAGGAATGTTTGCCTGTTTGAGACGTTTAGTCCAAGAAGTGGGAAGACTGTCCGCGCGTTAAATTTGATTCCAGCGGACTTGTTTCTGTCGCTGTTTATTTAAGCGCCATTCAAAACCACGTCAACTCAACTGCAAGATTGAGAGATACGTCTTGATTCTGAAAGGAAATTAAACTATTCGCCAAACATTTAGACACGTTCAGGTCCTGGCGTAACGGTGTAAAGGAGGATACGGAAAGATTACACGGAGAAGACGCTTCACGACAGCAAATAAAACAGCCATCATTTCGAGCAGTCGACAGCCCTGTCTTCCTTTAGTTATCTTTCCCTTATCAAATGGTCTTTGTGTTGCTAGATTTCTGTACCCGCCCTTGTTTGAAGCCCAGATCTTGTCGCCCTTGTGTTCCGGTTTCTTGTGAAGCCTCTCACGCTCATCTTCTCGAACCCTTCCCTCGACTCCACTTTATGAACAGTGCTTCCCCCTGGGGTGGCGGGAGGTCTCCCTTAGATGGCCTACATAGGTATGTGCAGCCCCAAAATTTTCAAGTTTGTCTTGCGGTAGTAGGAATTGAGGAAGAAGATTCAGGCACGTTGATGCTACCAGGATGAAAAAATGCTGTTCTTAATAGCGCGTTTAGTGATACGGAATACATTTTTTTCTGAACTGGATTGTTTGTGACTTAGAAATGCCTGTTGTTTCAAGAAAATAGCGAGGAAAACACAGGGCTAAACGAAAAAAGCTTTGAATATTTCTAAATATCCCATTCGTACTCTTCTTCACTACCTTTAATCCTCGTATCGATTTTTTTTTCTTCCTGCTTCAAATTGCCGGAGCAATGAACTTCTCCACTTTCTATTTTAAAACAGCGATCCTTGTAACAAATGGGTAAACCCCGAAAATTAAAACAAAATAGTTTAAAGTTTATTCTACTCTTGCGGGACTTCCATATAAAAAGGAAGGGGATGCTCGTCTAAAAAAAAAAAAAAGATGAGGGGCGCTATCAGCTCCCGCCCGCGCCTTCATGCTCACTCCCAGTCTCCCTATCGCTCCTTGAGCTGAGAAAAATAAGAAAAGCCCGTGGAGGAGGCTGTACCTAGATCCCGTTTGTTGGGTGTGGCTTAAAATTTTTTTCACCCCTTAAGCCTAATTATAAGAGGTACCAATTCTAAAACAACGCATTATCTCCTGTCATATTTTTCGGTCCAACACCCTAAAAGGGACCGCAAAAGCTCCTGCGGTGAACCTTTTGAGGTTGAACATCCTAAGAGGTACAACGAGTACCCCCGTCTCCCCACCCCCACCCCTTAGTGATATGCATTATTGGCATGGACTATCGTAGCAAAGGTACTTCAATCGTGGTGAGATCAGGCTGAAAATTTAAACACTAGGACCATTGCTTTCCGGCTCTGGCGGTCGCATATCTAGTACCCGTTGCTGCTAACAAAATTCATAAACAAAAAACATTGAAACAAAAAAAACCTAACGTACTTTTTCTAGTTATTCAATAGTCACCGGTAAAACGGAATTTATAGCCCTGTCATCCCACAACGTAAATTCAAAGTAGTTGTAACCTGGAAGACTCGTGCCTTGGACGGAGCCCGTGTTTCGCCAGTGTTGTGAGGTTATCCCGCCCCAGTCACGCCCCAGTCTTTATTCTAGTGTGGAGGAATTCCGTGAGAAGGCCGCAGAGACTGGGGCTCGGAGAAATAAAATATGGCGGACAATCTGACTCGCTGTGCATGTGACACAAGGAATTGCAGTTGGTCGTGAATGGATCTTTGCGATCCCGTAAGCATTATTTTGGTAACAGCTGGCAGTAGAGGGCAGAGTCTGTTATTTCGTTATCCATTTCTACCACCATGCCAGACGGAGCGAAGAGAAAAAGGTAAAAAGTTCGAGCTTCTGGAACTATTTCCAGCTACTTCGTGTACGATGTAAGGTAGCTTAGTGACTTTGTATTAAAATTTGGGTTGCAGAAATTCCCAAGAATCGCTTTGCGTTGGGTAAAGTGGAAGAAAATACTGATACAAGGTACAGATTTAAAAAAATCATACTTTGAAATGACCAGGAATTTATTTGTGCAATAGGATTTAATTGTGTCTGGCTTATAATTTACTTCCGTGGGAGCTGGGTGGGAGGGGTTTACTGGGCCATTCCATTTAATATCCGCTCCCCCTATTGAGGGCTATGGAAATCTTGGAGAGCGGGGGGAAAGGTCAAGTGAAGAGGGCAAAAATCTGGGGTTGGATCATCACAGACAAGATGGACTTACAAGTGAGAGGTCTGAAGGGGTACGTGGAAAATTTCTTTAAAGGATTCCGAAGGGTGCCTTTTAATATGAGTTTGCACTGTAGAAGGAAAAAATATGGACAGTGTAACAATCCTTAATACTTAGGCAATCGCAGAATTTCTGGAGGGGGGAGGGAAATCACAAAAATCATATGGTTACACTCTCAAAACTTGTTATCTGAAGCCAGAGGTTTCATGGAAAACCTCAATGGAGGGGAAGGGGTCAGGGGGAGGGGTGCAGACAGTAAATGGAATGGTCCATTACCAGGGACAAAGTGGCATTCTCAGAAGGAATATCTCTGGGATTATATTTGGAACAGATTTGGTATCTGAAAAGTTTTCTGTTCAGGCAGGCTTCAAGAATATCTCTAAGTTAGAGAGCAACATAACATAATATTATTTGTGAAACACAACGTACAACTATCAAATGAACTCCATGATTCTTTAGGATATGGTACATATGACACAGAATGCATAATTAGGTCTACCTTAGGGAAGGGTTGCTTCTTTAAGAGCCAGGTTCATGCAGTGTATATTCCATTCAAAGCTATTTATGCACTTAAATTTGTGGTCAAAGAAATGTCAGTGAATTTTTGTGTTATAAATTCATGACGGTAGCCACCTGATGGATCTTTTTATCTGGAGTCCATCATGCAAACCATTTGGCATCTATGTCTGAGTCCCATAGATGTGAAAAGTGCTAAAATACTCTATTTGCTTTTGTTTCCTTCAGAAATTTTTCTGGTATTAAAGACGGCCACCTGATTGGGTAAGAAAAATTATAATTAAAGGTGTAGTGTTTATAATATAAATGCACTCTGAAAGAGCTACTTAGCATTGACTGGCTAAAAATACAGTTGTACCTAACAACAAATGTGCAATACAATTATGGTGTCTTTGTTACATGGACCAAATAATATTTAGCAAAAAATTTTGATGTTACTCTAAACAAGAGGAAGTTTGAAGGACTTCATGAGAATCATTTACAATATTTATTGCAGTCAATCTGGTCATTCTTTGCTGTGTATCTTTGCAAATATGTTACATAACACGCTGTTTTGCAATCAATCTGGTTGGTCTTTGCCATGCAACTTTGCCAATATGTTGTCACACGCTGTTTTGCTCTAGATCTGTTGTTACAGTTTGCTTGGAGCAACTTGGAAATTCAAATCAAATTTGAGCAAATGCAGTCAAATTTGCTTTCTTCGCAAAAGCTGTTGTACAAAAAATCCATTTAGTTTGACTATAATGGACAAGAATCTTCAGATTAATAGCTTATAAATTATCAATGCACATGGTCATTCATTCTCGTCATCAGAGGCTGTGCTCCTTTTGGTCAGCACCAAGAATGGCTGGTCCAACACTGGAAGTCCGTGATTCATAGACTTCCGGTCAAATCTGGCAAATCTGATTGGCTGAGAATGCCAAACACATACGTTGCGCATGCTCAGAGAATCCGGTCCGTCCATAGGTGGTGATTCTTGGTTCTGACCAAAAGTAGCACAGCCTCTGGGGATGAAGATGATGTTCATTTTGTTAATTGATAAAAAAGCAAAGAAATGTCAAATATTCTTTTTACCAAGTTTCTCAGACAGCACACTAGCAAACATATTGTCGCCCAAGTCTGATGCCTGTGGCACCAAATTTGAGTTGAAAGTTGATGAGGTGCTGTTTGTGGGCCATCCAACCCTGGCACATGAAAGACATGACCATGAATTCAAGGTAAGTAGTGTTCTGAGAGTTCTTAGCTTATACTCACCAGTTTGATGCGGCCCAACAGTTTCTTTAGAAATGAGTAAGTATTTTGTTCATCAATTTTTAAAGATTGCTGTCAAACATGATTTAACCAACAGTATATGAAGTGGGCTTGGTGTGTGACCAGTCAAATCAGTGCCTCTTGAGAGTACTTTAATTAATTTATGTGGTGCTATTTATTACATCGATGAATAAAGTGGCTCTGCCTTTTTGGTGTAGGAGTGAATGATAAGTGTGTCAACATACCAATGAAAACTATGAGGCAGTAAGTAAGCAGTTGAACCTCTACTTATTGACACATCCATGATGCAGACTCCTCTATATATCAGACAGTTCACCTGGTCCCAAAGAAAATGGAAATTAATATATATTGTGGAGGCACAGCGGCCTTATGGTCAGTGTGCTCAACTCTGGTTGAGCAGACCAGGTTCGAGCCCTGGCCGGGGACATTGCGTTTTGTTCTTGGGCAAGACACTTTACTTTCACAGTGCCTCTCTCCACCCAGGTGTGCAAACGGGTACTGGTGAATTTAGTGCTGGGAGTAACCCTTCAATGGACTGGCATCCCATCCGGGGGCAGGTAGAAATATACCTAGTCGCTTCATGCCATGGAAACTGGCTTAAGCTCAAGCCTGATAGGCCACTTGGCTTGTATGAAGACTTTACCTTTCACCATTTTGCTTCTATATATAATGATACAGACACCTCTTAATACAGACACTTAGATTTGCACCTTTGGTGTCTGTATTAAAGAGGATCGACTTGATCATTAAATAATTTCACAGAATCATAATAATTTTAATGACTGGAATTCACCTGCTCATAGAGAAATGATTCCTCATCAAGGAAAGATGATGTGATAATGAAGCTCTTCAATGTTGTCTTTGTTCTTCAGGTACTTGTAGATTCATTTTGGCATGCAATGTTATTAATAAGTTATTTCCTGCGTCATCTAAAATGCAGTTCAACCCTTATCAAATGGCCACCCTCAGGGAAATGTATAGTGGCTGCTTAAAAGGGGTTGGTCATTTAAATTAAAATAGAGGTTAAAACAATAGAAAAGCCCTCGTGGGGACTTTGGTTACTGGCTGCCCAACAGGGGTGGCTGTTTAATGGGTGGCCACTTTATAGGGGTTGGAATGGTCTGGTGTTACATTGAGAAAGAAAAAAAATCTATGGCAAAAATACTTTCTACTTCCTAGAAACTTTTTTAATAATAACATTGTCATGAATAACTGGCTACAACATGGCTCATGGACCATTTTTAGAGGAGCACAAGTCAAGATGATCATGGATATGGAAATTTATGTCTCTTACACTCTTACTTTCTAACTCGTTCATTCTTTAACTGCAATTAGGATTTCATACATTAAGAATAAAATGTAATCAAGAAGATTCAAACCTGAAGCCTGGGCATCAATATCATGTTAAAAAAAGAAAGTTAACACTCAGTCATTCTTCTATATCATTCTTTATAGGCAAGTGTGGAACCATCTGTGGTTCACTGCTATCATGACTTGTCAAAGAGAATAGCAATTGCCCTAAAACACGAAGAAATAAGGTACAGTAACTGATTTACCAGGGAAGTCCACTTATTAGCTATAAATTCATGGCTAAAACAAACCTTGATTTCCAGCTTGCCCTTTGGACAGGCGGGTCTCAAATTTTGGGCAAATCTTAGTTTACTTTTCTTGATTAAGTTGGCAGACAACTTGCCTGGGCTCTTGCCTAGAGGGCAAGTGAGCTCAGGATGAAAGGTCACTTGCCCTGCAGGAAAGTCTACTTGTCCCAGATGACCAGACGGCACGTTTTTGAGCACTGTATATTTTAAATGATTCTTTTTGCATAAAAGCCATAACACAGCATTCAACCAGTTGCATTCCTGATCAGAAGTACTTCTGGCTTTCTGCCAACAAATTGTCTTCAAATGTCTTTA